CCCCATGGGGGCTTCCCATGGAGACCGGGTCTGAGACTCACCTCCCTGAGGAAAGAACTGGGAGTAAATTAGTTTAAACGTGTCTTCGTCCACCAGGCCCGTGGGACACTCCTGCGGCAGGAAAACACCCCTCAGTGACCTGGGCTACCCCCACTCCACGCCCCAAAGTCCGGACTCCCAGGGCCTGGCCTCTCTGTCCTGTTGGGGGTGCCCACTGCCCGAGGCGCTACTGGGATCCCCTAAGCCTCCAGCGGCTGGGCTGGGGTGAGGGCAGAGTGCGAGGCAGGAAGGGGTGGCTGGACCTTCATTCTATACCCACCCCTGCAGACACTCCCTGGGCCCCCATCGGAGACTGGCCAAGGGGCCAGGGGTCTTCAGAAAACCAGTTTGGAGGCTTACCCAGCGCCCCTCACAAGCCAGCTCTCCCTCAAAAGGCCCCCCCAGGTATTTACCATGCCTGGGAGGTTTCTAAGGCCCAGGCTGGGGTCTGCAGGGCCCCTCCCGGAGGCAAGGGAGCACTCACATTCTTGAAGCCCCTATAGAGGGACTGTAGCTCCCTCTTGGTGAACTTGGTCTGTGCCTGCAGCTGGTCCAGCCCCTCCGGCTGGTGGCGCACTGTGGACAGCTCCAGCTCACTGTCGCTGCTGTCTGCAGGGGACACAGACCCAGGAGGTTGGGACAACTGCCCCTCACCTCCATCTTGCTCCAGTGTGGGTACCAGGGTTGAAGTGGTTGAAGCAGGGGAGGGGCCTTACTTTTGTGATGGCCCCACCTGGCCACACAGGGGCAGGGGCAGCGCTACTAAGCATTGTGCCGCCTGGCTGCTCTGTTTCCCTGCGCCTCGCCCAGAGAGGACCCTCCCACTGGCCCTAAGGCCCACAGGGGGTGGGGGTTACAGCTGATCTGGTCCTAGAGAGGAGGAGCCTGGCGAGACAGGAGATTGAAAATCAGCAGACAGGCATTGGTGAACCTCGATCTTAGAGAGCCAATTCCTCTGAGCAGCCCATCCTGATTTCTACCAAAGTGGGACGGGCACCCTTCTTGAACCATACCCAACCCAAACCCACTGCCAGCAAGTTGATTCTGATTCATAGTGATACCACATAGGGTTCCCAAGGCTTATGGGAGCAGACAGCCTCATCTTGCTCCCATGAAGGGGCTGGTAGGCTCAAACCACTAACCTTTAGATTAGCAGTCCGATGCTCAACCAACATTGCCATCAGGGCTTCACGATTGACCCATAAAAAACCTCAAAATGCATCCACAATCGAGTCAGTTCCACCTCACAACAACACTAAAAGACGGAGCAAAACCTGCCCCCGCCCCTGTGGGTTTCTGAGGCTGTAAATCTTTACAGGAGCAGACAGTCTCTCCCAGAGCAGCTCGTGGCTTCAAACTGCTGACTCTGTGGCTAGCAGCCCACTGCCTGGTCTTGGCACAAGGGAGTCCATTTTGAATCCGGTACCTTCTTGGTTCTCAGAACTCACCTCTCATGGGCCTCCCTCACATCGGCCTCCCCTCCCCTCGCTGAAAATCACCAGTTCTGAGAACCAGATATCCCCGAGAAAGAATGTTCTTTGAAGATATGTTTACT